TTTAGTATATATTAATACGTTGGTTATTTTGTAGTAAGAAATATTGTTATATCACGTAAACATTGTTTAAGAAACATTCATTGTTATATCACGTAAACATTGTTTAAGAAACATTCATTGTTATTTTATATGAACATAATTTAAGAAACATTGTTAAGAATGTATTTTAATTTCTTGATTTTAATTAAATCAAGTACGACAGTGTTAGCTTCAAATAGTAATTTTGAGCTTGTTTCTGATATTTAATATTACAGAGAGAGAGAGAGAAAATACTAATTAATATTAGAGCAGGCATAATATTCCCTAATCAAATGTAGCATCATACCTGATTCTCCTCATTTGTTGATAAGTAGGAGAAGAGTGGCGGAAAAGATATCTCGCCAGCCGAGATCATGGCACCCATCTCCTTACGTGTCTGAAGATGAAGACGATCAAACGTCAAGAGAAGAAATGAAAACCAAAATTAAGAACGAGATCGCTCGACGTCGACAACGTCTAGAGGAAGACTGTAGATTGTATGACCAATTACATAAGATAGCTAGAGAAAGAGATACGGGAAAACAAACAGGTGAACAAGTCTTTTGAATAAAATCATGATAATTGTCTCCTACCTATCAGCCACAACAAACTAAATGATGAACAGTTAATATATTTTACAACAAAATTAAGTTTTCTTCTGAAAGCGACTGGTAACTTAATAAAAATGTAGCACAGAAAACATTTTGACGTGATGTATTGTGTAAAACATCTTGACATCATGTTTATTGTTAATGTATAAAACATCATTACGTTAACAGGTGTTAAAGTGATATTTTGTTGTTGTGTAAAACTTCTGAATTCACGTATTTTGTCACTGTGTGAACAACTTGACGTAACGTATTTTGTTATCATGTAAATTATCTTGACGTGACGTATTTTGTGACTTGTAAACGTCGTGACGTGCTAGCTATATTTTGACCAACGTCAACTTTCTCAAGTTGTTTACAATAAGTTGATTTCCGTGGAACTGAAACACCACCCTATTGATTTATTATATGTTGGTATATACCCTATTAATACTGATTGACTACACACGTATATTGATTTGTTATATGTTGGTATGTACCCTATTAATACTGATTGACTACATACGTATATTGATTTGTTATATGTTGGTATGTACCATATTAATATTGATTGACTACATACGTATATTGATTTGTTATATGTTGGTATGTACCATATTAATATTGATTGACTACACACGTATATTGATTTGTTATATGTTGGTATGTACCCTATTAATATTGATTGACTACACACGTATATTGATTTATTACATGTTGGTATGTACCATATTAATACTGATTGACTACACACGTATATTGATTTGTTATATGTTGGTATGTACCCTATTAATATTGATTGACTACACACATATATTGATTTATTACATGTTGGTATGTACCATATTAATATTGATTGACTACACACGTATATTGATTTATTACATGTTGGTATGTACCATATTAATATTGATTGACTACACACGTATATTGATTTGTTATATGTTGGTATGTACCATATTAATACTGATTGACTACACACGTATATTGATTTGTTATATGTTGGTATGTACCATATTAATACTGATTGACTACACACGTATATTGATTTGTTATATGTTAGTATGTACCATATTAATATTGATTGAATACACACGTATGCTGATTTGTTATATGTTGGTATATACCCAATTAATATTGATTGACTACACACGTATATTGATTTATTATATGTTGGTATATACCCTATTAATACTGATTGACTACATACTTATATTGATTTGTTATATGTTGGTATGTACCATATTAATATTGATTGACTACACACGTATATTGATTTATTATATGTTGGTATGTACCATATTAATATTGATTGACTACACACGTATATTGATTTGTTATATGTTGGTATGTACCTTGTTAATACTGATTGACTACACACGTATATTGATTTGTTATGTGTTAGTATGCACGTTACTTAGCTACTGCGTATCACACGAATTAAATGATATTGTTTACTTATAGGGCTTTAGACCCTAGGCATTAGCTCTTTTGAATACAAGATTGTATACTATCAAAATCGTGTACTTACATATGGATTTTTACACTAGGATAAAACTACAGCAGTCTTGAAATGTCTATGAAAAGTGTAACTTTCATCATGATTTGCATATTTTTATTTTTTATATAAATATAGCGTTTATCGTGACAATCGAGGAAGGAGGCAGTGTTGTAAGCTGTATTTTGAATAAAAATAATATTCATACTGACTTGTAAAATAAATTTTTCATAAATTTTAGTCCGTATGCTTTATTTGTAATAATATAATTTAAAATCAAGGAATTTTGTTAACCAAACTTGAGTTATTTAGTATCTTAAATTTGTACTCCTGATTATATTCCTGATTGAGGATTTTTTATGAGTCATTAGATAAATATTGAGCCAGTTTTAACGAAATCGGTGTAGAAAATAAAAGTAAAAAAAAAAGTAATGACCCAGCAATTTATGTCACCGATATGCCTTTTGTACTTTTTATGTAATAATTGTTAAACGCCTATAAATTATTGTGCTTTGTTTTAATTGTATAATTCGCTCCCTCTCCTTGCAGCCCAACGTTAAGTATTAGGGTTTATAACGCTAAAATTCAGCGTTCAATCCCTGCGGTAGGCAGAACAAATGCAATCAATTTTTCGGCATCATGCTTAACGAGAACTTAATCTATTCTTTAATTCAACTTACCATGGATACCAATAAAATATTGAATTTGATTTTGGTTATGTAGGGTATCCACCGAGTCAGTCAACAATGTGTGGTGCATCTTCCAGCATTGGTTGTGGTAGTGAAACGTATCGCCCTAGTCACAATTACCAAATACGCCCTTCTGATACCGGAAGTACAAGGAACGTCCTTAAAGCAATTGACGAAATATTGAAGAAAGGTATCGTCAGATGTATTCCTACTTGGTCAACTGAACGTAGCGGAGACTCAAAGCCCCTATATACAACAGCGCCATCTGCCTATTCGCTCTCGAGGTAAGTTAATTAAAATATTACTTTCGGCTGAGAATTTACTTTTATACATTTCATGTTTTAAACTGTTATTTTCATGTTATTTTTTGTTACTTTATGCAGTAATTATTATACTGAATACTCAAAACATAGACTTTAATTTCGGTTTTTTCACTATACCGTAGAATGGTTCTTTTATCAGATAGTAATAAATAAATAAATATTTATGTTTATCTTGTCTGGTTTGTTTTAAATACTTACCAAAATTACTTTATTTATCAACTAAAATATATATTTACAGCTACGAGTATTTAACGCACACTGGTGCTGGCCTCAAGCGGCCTGCTAACGAACAACTTGCAAGATTTCGAGAAAAGCATATAGAAGACGAAAACATAGAAATAATAGATTCATCGTTTAGCACTGAAGAATTAGCCAGTAAAAGTGCTAGAATACTGCCCCAACGACACCCTCGATCTGAGTGTATGTCAGATGTGAAGAAAATTGATACCCCTGGTGGTAATAAAGAAATCACCCCTGCCATGCCTTTGTTGCCCGACTTACCAGCACGTTCTCGTAAACTTCTAGAAAACCTTGGATGTTCATCGGTTGTTAGTCAGGATGGTAAGCATTCGTATTCCTCGTGTAATTTACATATTCATCTATTGTTAACCAAGATGGTAAGACGTTGTATTCCTCTGGTACTTTACATATTCGTCTACTGTCAACCAAGATGGTAAGACGTTGTATTCCTCGTGTTATTTACATATTCATCTACTGTTAACCAAGATGGTAAGACGTTGTATTCTTCTGGTACTTTACATGTTCATCTATTGTTAACCAAGATGGTAAGACGTTGTATTCCTCTGGTAATTTACATGTTCATCTATTGTTAACCAAGAT